AATTCATTTCATGGAACTACATGAATAATAGAACGTAATAGTGAATCATATTGACTCTGGATGATTCCTTTTTTATTATCTCTGAATTTGTAACGAATATCATACATATTTCGATTAGTAAGATATAACCAGTAATTATTTGCATTTGTTCGAATTAAGATAAAATTACAATATAATAAATCTAACCTAAATGCAATTGATTTTATGGAAAAATATTGTTGAAATGTTATACGTTATCTAAACTTCATTGTTTATTCTTTCGAAGGAGACAATCGCGAGTTCTCTAGTATTTCTAAGAATTTCTCTTTATAAAAGAGATAAGATCTTCATGAATCGACATCAAGATAGTTGTATACTGCTGACACTTTTTCATTTTAGAATATCTCAAAACTTTCAACGCATCCATTATTTAATCCTCAACGTCTGTAATGGTGTTTAACTAACATCTATTATATTGCCTTGATTACAGCATGTACGATCTGTAAAAAGTTCAAATTTTTACTCCTATACTTCAACACTCGTTTTAGATCATGTTCTATCAAACAAAAAAAAAGCATATTTTCTAATAAAATAAAAACAAATCATGCCACATAATTGGATTAAGTTTATACAAAATTGGTGAACCATCTTTTCATTCTAAATATTTGGCAAGAAAAATTTTCACAACAGTTAAATGACAATCATCTTCTTCTTCATAACATGGAATTCTACATGTTTTATCTTTCATCATTCGACAAGCTAAATTTTATATTGAAATTTTATTTAGAAAAAAAAAACATAATTGTTTTTTCTTAAATATTTTTCTTATGAATAAATTGTTCAACAAGTCCTTGACCTATTCGTCCACCATTTAAATACCCGACTCTTCCCTAAAAATTTAACAATATTGATAAATATTCTTTGTTTTTGTTTTTTTGCTTATCTAATTCACTTAGAGTAGCATCAATAAAATCAATATTTTCAAGAATATTTTTAAATATTCCAGTAATCGATTGATTACTTAATAAATGTGATTGATAAAGATATGCTAAACTCCATATTGTATCATATACATAACCATCAAAATAATCTTTTTCTAATTTAGAAAATTGTTTTATATATTCCGTAATATATTCTGATTGATTCTAAAAAATAATTCAAAAACAAAAAAAAAAATTCTTTTGTTTTGTTTTGTTTTTCTCAATAGATTTTTTTAAAAATACTTCATTATCATCAATAGATAAACGTGGTACACGTGTTTGTAATGTACCATTAATTACACGAATTATTTCTTGCATTGAACAATCAGTTGGTTCATTCCACCAAGTTGATAATGATGGATAACCAAGAATAATCCATTGATAACGAGAACCATAAACTTGTTCACGAGCTGCCTATCCTTTGAAAATAAATAAGAAATTTTTTTTTTGTTGAATTTTATCATATATACCTGACAAAACATATGAGTAGCAATTGTTTTATTAAAATTTCCATTAATTATTCGTACATCTCAACCCTTCAAAAAAAAAGAAGGACAAAAACAAATTTTTGTTGAAGAATTTCAGTATTTATCATTGTTGCTATTCGTTCAGTATTTTTCATTTTTCGCAATTTTTTTTTGTCTTAATTTTATATTTTTTTTATTGTAATCATTGAATTAATTGGCAAACACATCTGTTTTACATATCGCTTATATCTACAGCAGATCTTATGCACCATTATATATATATTAATCAACTTACAAATAATGACGTTGATTATCTTTCAAAATTATAATTTGATCGAATTTGCAAAAAACTATAGAAAGTCTGACGCCTGTTATTCTCGATTGCTAAGGCCTGTAATGAAGGGTATGTCTGTAATGTTCTCTTTCCCGTTGCTATGTGTCTGTAATAGGGTGGGGGGGGGGGGGGGGGGGAAAGCCGCCAAATCTCGAACTTAAAACTTACACTCACTATTTTCTTCGAAAACATACGTGAGTTTTACAAAATAGAAATGCATTTTCTTTATTATATTTTTCCAAAATCAAAGGTCTATTCACTTGTTAATGCAAACCAATGTTTTTTCTGATTTACATCTATTTTAATGCAGAAATCATCAAAATCTAGTTTTTCTTTAAAATATCCATGACTAACATTGAAATTGAAGATCATTTGTAGCGATGAAAGTCGAAATTTTCTATACAAGAGAGTTCATTTACATAGAAGTAAAAGTTAGATTTGTACAAAAAAGAAACAATAATATTATACAAACACTATATTAGCTTTTCTTATGCTTCTTTTCCGGAATTAAGATGTAAACATTGTTTTTTATTACTAGTTTTTTTTCAAATAAATACCACTACGAGATGTTGTCTCAAAACAAAAGCCTAGACATAGTTAAACCGCGAATGCCATGATTAATTTATCTTTGACATACACTGCTATTGGCTGAACTTTCCTTAAGATGAGTTTTTAATGAAAAAAAAAAGATTCACCCAACATATATATTTTTTTTGACGTCAAACTTAAAATTGCGATTCAATAAAATTAATTTTTTTTTCCACAAAGTTTGTGTATTACTGAGTGCATAGACGTGTTAAATTTTACAACTTTTAGAAATAAATGCTTAGTCATCGTGCATCAGCCAACAGATGATTTGTGGTTGTAAAGTATACAACAGTGTTTTTAATATTAAGTACCTCCAACAAAAGCAAAATATCCGAGGTGCTTACAATTTTGCAAAAGTACTGTGTTTTGTACTAGGCTAGAAAAAACACAGTACATCGATGGTATTTTGCAAATTAAAAACAGTACTTTACTTATTTATTACGTCATTATATAAAAGTTTCTCGTTTTCTTCTTTGTTATATATTCTAATTGTAGATAGAACTGAACAGTATTTTTTCTTCTAGTCCCATCAAATTCATAAGTGAAACTTCTTGTTTTCTTTTCAGATTTTGGAGCTTCTTTCTTTATCGGTATTTTTGGTTCATTCTTGCATCATACACTATTGATTATTTAGTATTTATTCAATCTATATTTATTATTTGACGCTTATTCAATCTAAATTATTATTTAGTCTCTATTTGATATATACAGATTGTCCCAAAAGTCACACGAGCAAGTAAATTCTTATAACTTCTTTATTTGTCAAAACAAATCAATTGTCTTTTTTTTTCGTATGATAGGCATCACCTAGAAGTTTTTATTCATACGAACCAACTTTACCAAAAACGTGAAAAGATATCACTTTTGACTGAACTACAGAAAATAAGTTTTTTCAATTTTCACTGAAAAAAATATGAATCAATGGTTTTTAGATCATTTCAATTTTTGATATATCTTATGCTTTCAACTGGTTAGAGTAGTTTTATTAACATGTTTTTTGTGATATATTAACGTGCTTCAATATTGGATGTTTTTATGAGAATATTGAAAAAATAACTATAAAAGAAGCCTAAACAAGGGTGTGGGTGTGGGCAATTGATGATTTATATATCGATTGAAATCTTTATCAAAGATCTATCAAATTCATAATTTAAATAATATTTTATCTTATATGCTTACACTCAAACTGAATTCATTGTATTAGGATGAATTATTAGAATAATGACTAAAAAATAGGTTAATTTGTTAAGAGATTTAAGTTTCAAAACTCAATAAAAAGAAAAAACTTCATGAAACTAATAACAAACAATGTTTATCTCGATATGCTCTTTCCATTGATATATAATTCAATATAATTGAACAAGAAAATTACTAGCAGACTGATTTGACCTTTAATGCACATCCATCCTTTATCTGGTGTACAATGAAAGGTATGGTGTCCGTAATTGTTTAGCAGTTTTGGCGAAGGACAAATATACCTATGAAAGTTGAAAGTACAATAGTAATAGTAGTACAAATATAAAGACAGAAATACAGTACAATATATAAGAAAGAAAGGAAAAACCGAACAATAGTAACCAAAACTATAACAAACTACATTGACACTGAAAAAAAAACAATTCAAGCAGTGTCATAAATATCGGATAAAATTTATGGAAGAATTTATCTGCGAGTATAATTTGCCATAAAACCCATGAGATTCATGTATAGATGACAGATAGACCAAGTTTCAATGGCAATGACTGAAAGTTCTAGCAAATAACATCCAAAAACTTTGTTACGAAAAGCTAAACCTTTGCTTTTTCTATGTTGATTTCGCACATGCCTTTGTCTGCGTTGTTGCTACTTCCATTTTTAGTGATTACCGTAGCTTTTATTCGAATATTTGTATTCTTCGTTGTTGCTTTTAATTAGCAACTCCACGATCGTGACATACCATATAGTAATGGTATGTTAATTGTGAGGCTAGTATTTCATGACTCGTTAGTTTCTAAACTATACTATTAAGTCTATCTATCCGAAAGTTGGTTGTTAAAAGAGGATGACTCATGTATTCTTAATCCACATTTAGTTTTACAAACTTGTTCATACAATGTGCATGTGGGAGGATTTTTATTAGCTGCGAGCGAAAACTGGCGTCTATATTTATTTTTGTTTGTTTGTTAAATAATGCCCTACATGATGTTTCCTATATCCAAAATTTAGATAGAACACCTTAGAAAACATTCTACAATTTCGAATGGGTTCCACATAGAAAAAGAATAATTTCCAATGAATAAGAAAGCATTTCAGATCAAGGAACACATGAGAAAACATTCTTCTCTTGAAATAACACGTGATTACCTTCGGAAAGTAGGTTTTCATAATAATCAATATGATTTTCATAAATAAAATTGTGGTTCAACTTTTGATGAACGCCTTCGCTCCTTTTTTTTTGTTCTTTTCGATTGGTCTTCATTATGTGATGCTTATTTTGCTATGGGATTTTAGATCAAAAAAAATTGAATAAAAGTTTTCATCATGTCTAATACTATGCTACCAATTCATAGCACATCGGTTCCGACAACAAACACATCGCAACACTCTGCTCAAATACAGGTTTGTGTTATAGTTATATCTTGTTTTCTACATATGTTCGTTTTTTTTCTACAGTTAGAAATAAATAGTAAACTTTTCTTAAAATATATTCTAAACTTCAAATATAGTATGAAAATAAGAATTTAAAGAGATGATGCTGATGAATTTCTAGACACTAACATTTAATAGAAAAAATGAAAACTGTCATTAAACGAAAATTTGAACAAAATCTTTTTGTTTTTTTTCTGCCGATCTATTGGCATGACAAGATCGAGCTGATCGACTTACCTCTAAAAATGTTCTTTTTAATATTTTCAGACTCATTTTTATAAAAGAAAAAATATGAAATTCTTACACTTAGCATTACATTTATCTTCATAATATATTTTATTGAAAACTCTCGGAAAGACTTGATCTGTGCAAAAAGTAATTTAAGGTTGATTTGAAAGATAAAATGGTTCAATACTCGACACTATCATAAATAGAACTATTATCCATTTCAAAATAGAATGTGCTCCACTGTTTTTCGAATAACTCGAGAATGGAAGCAGCTAGAAACCTGCGGTTTTCACCAATCGAAAGAGGAGACAGAGGCACGTCTTTTTCTTCAATATTGTATAAGATGAAGTCCTTTTAAAACTAATTATCTCTGGGAAACATGGAAAAGAATGCATGAAAGTGACCTGCCATCTAGATGAAATTTTGATTTTGACCTTCGATTTAGATAGAGGGACTTCAGATCTATAGTTCAAGACACAATGCAAACGGTTCTCTTATTGCATTCTAAAGTTGAGCAAATGGAATCATGTATTGACATGCGCAAATAATAGGGAATTTTACTGATTTTTTATTAAGTTTTTGCACTTTTTATCATAATAGCTGGACATTTCGATGAAAACGTAACGAAAAGTAGGAAAGTGCATTGTATCTTAAACTATAGATCTCAAGTCCCTCTATCTACAGTAATCGCCATAAGTGGGCGCGATTGAAAAAACGAGGAAGACAAAGGAGTTATTTGGTCATATTTTATTTATGAAACTTACATTATATGTGCATCATCCTCATAATTAATATAATCCCTTTTTCTTTGAATTAACAATGCTACTCTATTTTCCATAGAATCGCCTGATTTTTCAACAAATTCAATAGCTAAGTTTCTCCATTCTTTTTTTATTCTCTCAATGAAATTATTGATCGATATATACGGTTCTTTTTTTATTCTGAGCTCCACTAATACCTAGACATCTTCAGTTGGGTTAAAGTCTTTCAGTTTTATATCCTGCTGGGGTCTTTTTTAAAACATCGTCACTTGTTAGCAATGGTTTCGAGATCGGTCTCATTGAATGTACATCGGTCTCTTTAAATCTTCTTCTTAATGTGGTTTTACTAATTTTTATATCTTTTTGTGATAATCTAAACGCAATTTGACCGACAGATTCTATTGAATGTTGAGCTACCATGGATTGAATTGTTGTGTATTGTTTTTCCTGTATAGACCGGGTTTTTGTACAACTTA